CATAACTACGTCTCCTTCTTGATTGATGTCTCAACGGAGGCCGGCCTGCTCGACGCGCGACGACGTCGCAGCGCTACTGAAGGCGCCGGAGAACTCCGGCCTTTCGGGCTTATAGGGTTTAGGGTCTTGGGCAGAGGGGCTTTGGGTTTAGGGTCTGGGGCTTAAGGATGTGCGGATTCTGGCGGGTTTCTAACAAACCCGCAATGCATCCGTGGATCATTACATCTAGGGTAGTATAAGGTTTCTACAAAAACACCCGTGTGTTTTAACACAGGGATGAGGGTTCGACGGGGTCAGGGTCTCAGTGTCTTGGAGATGGAGGGTTTCAGGGCCTCACGTGCTCGTACGCTGGAGGGCTTGGACTGGAAGTTTCTGCCGTTTGCGTATTTTTTCGGGATCCAGAAGGCTGTACTCGTGCCGGGGCATCCGATTTTCCGTGCGCCTTAGGATCGAGGTCGAGGTCCGTGCAACCGTTGAACGCCAACACACAAACGTAAGCCTCTCTTAGTTCCGAAACCTCGGGTCCCCGGGTAGGGGTTTAGGGGTTTTAGGGTTTAGGGTTTTAGGGGTTCAGGGGTTTCGGGTTTAGGGATTTTGGGGTTTTAGGGATTCTAAACCCGTAGGAAGATCCGACTCAGGCAGTGGATTCGAAGTTCAACGGCATTACCCTGCGCTTCGGAATGATGGAGGAAAAGTCAGGTTAAGAAAGGATGCCAGCTTGCTCTAAGGGTTACCTTTCCGGAGAGTTTAGGGCATCCGTTTTGTTTTTGGCTGAAGGATTCGGAATGATTTTTACAGGATTTCGGGCTTCTTTCGAGCTGGGTCTGTGCTCAGTAGTTTGGATCTTTCGAGGGGTTTCGGAGTGAAGGGGATTGGAGGTCAGAGCAGCTATGGTCCAAAGCGATTTCCCGATGCCTGAGACCTGCAACAAAGAGTTTTTGGGTCCTTCAGTGTTAGTGAGATACCCAAAACCCTAGGCCCTGAAAAGCTCGGAAGTTTCTGGCGAGGTTATAGGGGCCGACATAGAGGAGCAAACGCCTAGAAACACACTTGAAGGTTTCAAGCCAAGCCTCTGAGGTGCGTTGGCACATACGCCTCGTCGCCACAGAACAAGGCCGGCAAAAGGACCTACCCCTTAAACCCGTAGCCCTAAACCCCTAACCCTAATCCTAAAGCATAAAGCAGTCTAACCCTAAACCCTTACCTCTAAAGGAAATCCGTCGGGGGTTCGAGGAGTTTCAGTAGCAAGGCTTTCCGGCTCTACGGCCATCTCGAGGGGGAAAGAATCTGCAGAGCTCGGGTTTGAAGCCGTTTAGGGTTTAGGTTTAGGGGTTTGGGATTTAGGGTTTAGGGTTTTAGGGGGCGTCCTAAGTTTCATGCAAAGCATCGAGCATCTTCAGAAGACTTCCTGTGCCGTGAACCATGAACTCTGTGACATCAAGCTTCGGCCTATTGCTGAATGCCTTAGAGGCTTCAGTCATCTCGGAGACTTCATGTAGAAGCCTGAATCATTACTCTTACTGTTCGCTTCCTGGCTTTCCCCCAACGCGGTGTTCTACTTGTTTAGGGTTTAGAGGTTTAGAGGTTTGGAGGTTTAGAGGTTTAGGGTTTAGGGTGTTCTACTTGTTGTGAAGGCCCGTAATAAATCGACGTCCGCCACTGGCAGGTTGAGGACATGGCCAAGGAATTCGCTTCGCGCACACACTTCGTGCACCTGCGGAATGTCACGAAGGCCGCGGAAACGTCGGGGTCCATTCCGATGTAGCATGAACATCCAGCACTAGAGCTGTCCGTAGGAATATCGAATTGCCTAATTTTTTCGAGCACTTCACCGAAAGCAGGAGCTGTTAAACCCTATTGGGGTTCCCTGGATCTTGCGCAGTAGGGCTTACACAAAAGACTCGATTTTAGCCGCGTCCGCATCATACTTCCGAAGGCATCGGGTCGCAACAGAACCGCAGCCAAAGAAACATCAAAGCCTTTGGACCTAACCCCCAAGCTCTTTTGGCTTGCTTTGAAGACCAAAGCCAGAGCCCGTGAACTGAAGCCTCAAAACTCGCGCATCTCAAAGAGTTAAACCCGAAGGATCCAGTCGTGAAGCCACAAGCAAGCCCCTTGACATGTGCTGCTCTGCCGAAGTATCTTGATTTTTGAGTTGAGGGACTGGAAGGTCCCTAAGTGAATTGAAGAAACCTAGCCCGCTGCGCCGTAACCCTACATGATCAGCCCTACTTATCCAGGAGATGCCGCCCTCTCCGGAGACTGGGCTGGGTCCTGCTGGCTGTCCCCCGGCGGCTTCAGTAAATGCTCATACTGGCATTGATATTAGTCCGAGCACTGTTGTACTGGCGTTCTGTTTGTCCTGGTTTGTCTAGCCGCATGTTTTCTTGTCTTGCCGAGATGTCTTTCTCAAGGTTCATGGCTCTGGGGTGAGGCTAATGGTTCAGGGTGTGCGATTGAAGGCATGCAAAATCAATCGTCTGGGCTGGGCCTCCGTTGCGTATCGGCATATTTAGCTCGTCGATGCTGTTTATGTTGGAGAGCATGGCATTTCTTCAGCTTGTCTTCGGCGTCCAGGCACATTCACAGAGTCCGACCATTTGGGCGGTGATGTAGACATGCTGCCTGGCTGCAGAATAAGCTAAAGGGCCATGAAGCAAAGTACAATTTAGCCAGAGTGAGAGACCGTAGCACACCAACAGATTCAAGTTTATGGTTAGGCAGTAGACGGCAATACTGTAGTACGAGGTACAGACAAGGACAGACAGCAAGTCACCAATACATAACATCGCGTGCCAAACATAGCCTGAGTTGATATCCTAGTATCTCGAACATACACACACACACATGCGTATGTGTGTATATATATATACACACACATAATGTGTATACAGGCACGCATGGATACATACGTGCGTACGTATATACACACAGGCATAGCTACATGCATGACGTTGCATTAATGCCATATCTGCGGGTATGCATGTATGCATACATGCATACATACATGGTCAACATATGCTCACGCATGCCCTTTTATCGGCTAAACTCATTTCTGTATCAGCCATGCTGTAACGTGTCAAAACAGCACGGCTGAAGGTATTCGATCATGTTGACGATGCTCGAGGACCCGACAGTCAAAATGGAGTTCCACAGCAAGTGCAGTTGTTGCCGCTGCAGGTCTAGCAGTCTCAATGCTGATGCTGCAGATGTCGTCCGAACTGTATTCGCGATAACCATCATCGTCGTCGTCGTCTTCATCATCTTCATCACCATCATCATTATTGCACTTGTCGCCATCACTGACATCGTCGTCGTTACCATTGTCACATCACCACGTCCTCCTTTCCTTATGTATCGTCATCGGAGCTACCGGCACACGTATGTATCCTTCAACCTCAGGCACGAATGTCGGCTGGAGCACTCCCTTGTAATCTATTCCCGACATGCTTCACACATCCACGGTCAGGAGAAGCAGCGCCGTGTTCGAGAAGGCTGGGGCGACTCGGCCAACATTCCGTTCCGCCCGGACCACGGCCACAAGATGCTGGATGACATGAAGGCCAGGGTGGGGGTGGGGGTTTATGTGGGATTTGCACGGCTTTCTTCTATTGGTGTTCGGGTTTTGAAGTGCAGGTTGCCTGTGGGCCTGAAAGATGTGTTAGGGTTTCAAGCTCTGCGCATTGAGCCTCAAAGTCTCAACGCTGAAAACTAGACCTCCGGCGCGAAACCCCGAACAGCAGGGAAGTAGCTGACCCCTGCCACAGCACCTTGCAACGCCTGATCGAACCCAAGTGCCGCATGTCACAAGTACCATTCGCAGTAGTAGTTGCGCCACTCCTCCTACTTGGAGGTTCATGGGTAGTTACAAATGGAGTTATACGTAGGGCTATAGTTATATCTCAAACGTTCTGGATGCGCGTGCACGGCAGGGCGGTGCAGCGCGCGAGCGTCCTGGTCAGTCGGGACTAGGTAAAGTAAAAGGGTCTTGCGAGGGCAGCAACCCGCTGTACAGAGCGGCCCGTGCAAAACCTGGAGATCGCGAGCCGAGCAGCGTCAAGGGCTTGAATGTCACAACCTAAAAGAATACCGTCAAGCGGAAACCCAACACCTAAATCAGAAAGATCGAGGCCTTCGACAAAAAGCCCATGAAGCGAAAGTGCTCTGAGGCCCTTGCGAAGAACATGTCTGAACACCCTAAGCTGTACAACCAGAGTGGTCGGCACATTTGAGAAAGGAAAAGAAGCGGCATCAACCCAGGCTCCAGAAGCCAAATGACGAACCGGAAAAACATCGGAATGAACCCTAAGAAACATAACCACCAGCTCAAACCAACTGAGTTTGTACACATCCTGGGAGGCAGCATCCTGGTTGCAAAGAAATTCAAAAGTCTTCAGAACGAAACAGCCAGGAAAAGCCTGGCACGCCTGTGAGACTTGCTGCTGCCAGTCTAGCGGGAACTCTTCAGCAACTCGCATGCTCGTATCGGCATCGGGTAGAGCAGCCGGAACAGCATCGACATGTACGAACTCAGTTTCGGGGCGTTGCCGGGAAGAGCTCGAAGAAGTGGCGTCGGCTATGCGGGAATATACCTGAAACAGCGCATCCAGAATCTTGGCCTGGTCGAAGTAGTAGGAGACTGCTGCCTGGTGAGCGGCGGCCAGGGTGCAGCTGCGGTTGAAATTCACTTGCACTGCAAGCCGGTCCGCCCTGTCGTTCCAAACTGCGAGCCACTCCTCGAGAGGCGATTCGCATGTGTCCACATCAAGGTGGGATGGCACATGCTGCACCTGAAGATCATCGGAGGCGTATTGTTCAACCAGTTCCTTTGCCAAAGCCCAGAGGTCTTGGTTGTCCTTCGAAGGAGTTGTGTGCCCGGTCAGGCACGCCCGGATGCCCTACCAAATGATGATCGGAACGTGCAACCACAAGCCCCATTTCAGAGAGCATATAACGGCCCAAAGCTCAGCCCGAGGGATGGTCTGCGAAATCCCCGGTACTGGGCCGCATCCGATAATTTGCCCCGTGCCGGCGTGCATGACACCCCACGAGGCCAGGGCTAGTTCCGGAACTTCTGGGTAGATGCAAGAGCCATCTGTGAAGAGGTGCTGGAAGCCGGCGCAACAGGTTGATGAGGCGAAGTTGCCTGATAGATCAGGGGTAGCCTGCAGACACTTGCGAATGAGCGGGACATGTGGCGAGGATGGAGCTAGAAGGTGATGGGTAGTGCAGGAGGGGAGGTCGGGCCAAAGGCGACAGACCCATTCAACTCCAGTCCTCGCTTGCTGGAAGCGTGGGCACCAGCAAACCCGATGTTCAGGGGTGTCGGCAACCCCGCACTGCACACACATTCCGGTGATGCTGAGGTCAAACTTGCTGTGGGCATCATCGAAAAGGAAAGCACCTGATCGGAGGGCATTCAGCCGGGCCAGTTGAAGAGGTGGAAGCCCTCGCTCCGAATGCCTCAGCAGCGCACGATCAATGCCGAAGAGATCATGCATTGTCTTCCGGTGTCTGTGTTCTGTGGCTGTTTGATCGAGCCAAGCCTGTTCGAGCAGCCTGCGCAGAGTGAGGTCAGGGACCTGAAGCAAATTAAGTTCCAGGCCGTGCTGGTCAACAACCTGGGGAGGGTGAGCGATCTGCCAACCGATGCGGTTGAGAACAGACAAAAGCTTGGAGAATGGGCCATGTTGGAGTTCGCCGCGAAAGCCACGAACGAAAGAAGTCCACAGGGAGAGCACTGAGTCGTGCTTGCTGCACATACGCCGAAGATCACGAATCGTGGCCCACAGTTGGAAGAAGCCGGGGTCGGCATCGAGGTTGGAATGGACCGATAACCTCAGTGTGGAACTGCTGCCGGCAGGGTTAATCCGAAGTGCTTTGGTAGCGGAGCATCGCAAAGAATGCACCTGAGCTTCAGCGAGAGGGCAAATCGAGATGCCGTGCAGAGCCCGGGCCCAAAATTTGAGGGGGAGAACGGACAACTTCTGCTTGAGTGTGGCAGGTGACCGGCGTAATCTGGCAAACAGGTCTTTAGTGTTTTGGCAGCGCTCAACCAGAGCGAGGTTGCGAGTGGCCCTGCCAAAGGAAAGGACCCCACCCAATTCCCTGGCGTGAGTACACAGTGGGAGGCCCAAAGCTTTCAGCTGCTTTCTGGAATCCGGCTGGACTGCCCAAACATAGGTTTTACCATCATCCGGAGTCAGGTCGAGAAGGTCCATCACGCAGCTACACAGGTTGAGGCCATGGGCAAGTTGGCCAACAGAGGGGGCCGTGCAAGCCCAGTTGTCAACATAAGAATGGGGGGAGATGCTGCGGCCAAACACTTCCAAGTACCTGTGGAAAACCAAGCAGGCAATGTTCATGGCAGTGGTGCTAAGTGCACAACCCTCAGGGAAACCTGCGTGAGAACGTAGGGGCTCACTTACACACTGGCGAATGAGAAACCTCCTTTGGAGCCTGCCAAGGAAATCCCGCCATGGCACGAGAACAGAGGACGGGAAGCCAATTTGTGCAGCGATGCGCCAAATGGGCTCACGTGGCAGAGCATTAAAGGCCTTGACGATGTCTGTGGAAAAGCCACACAGCTCCAGGCCGCCTTGACAGGAGAGCTCAACGATGGCCTCCAGCTGCCACCAGAAGTCTGTTGTTTCACGACCCGGCAAGAAACCGAGTGCGGTGGCAGGCATAACATCCTTGAAGTGCTTCAGGAGTTGTCGGGCGCGCAAGCCACTCCAACACCGATAAACAATGGAGAGCAGCACTATTGGCCTGTAGCCGTCGGCGCCCAGGGCACCATTAGGCTTCTTAAGTCCACAAACGAAGCCAAGCAGCCACTGTTCTGGCCAGACCTGAACACCAGCCTCAATGGAGCTGAGAAAACTTAGCAGCTCAACCGCAAGACTGTCTGGCATATTTCGTAGGTCGGCCAGGGCAAAACCATCCGGGCCTCGAGCAGCCCTTGGACGAAAATGCTTAAGGGCTTGTTTCCAGGACTGAAGACACAGTGGGGGAAGGTCAAAATGACCCGTGGGCAAGTGCACGGCAGCAAAGTTGATAACACGATTCCAGTGCTCAGAGGGGAGATCCTGGTGCTTTTGCCAACGGGGCCCCCACAAACAAACGAATTCCTGGCAGATGTCAACAACCGAGGAGAGATACTGTACCTGCTCAAGCTCGGCATCAACAGGGATGCGCTTGGGCGGCGAGATAGTGGCAACACAATGGTCTGGGGAAGCGAGAAAAACTGGTTGGCCATCAAGACGCCACTCTGATGTGCCCCTAGTGTCCAGATCGGAATCGAGCTGGACCTGGCAGGTGTCCGGGTCAGAGGCAAGGACAGTATGTGTTTTGTGCAGCACAAGGCAGTCGACCTGCTCAGGCTTGTCATCCCGAAGGTCACGGAAAAGAAGATTGCTGTCATGTGCATAGCGCTCGCGCAGAACCGAGTGTCGCTGTCTAGTGCTCCAGGCCTCAAACCTTCGGAAGTTTTCACGAAAATCAGTGAAGCAGAGCGAAGCAGTGCACAGATCAGGAACGCGACCCGGAAGGGAGTCAGGCGAGCCTTGGAGCTTGATTTGCCGATGCTGCCACCATTGGGCAAAACCATCCTGGAATCCCTTTGCCTTGGAGATTGCCTGCCAGAGGGCTGTACGATATTCAAGAGCAGATGCCGACAGGCTAGCGGCTAGCTGCCTTGAGGGCATGCACAAGAGACTGCAAGCGACGAAGTTGTTGGAACCATCGCTTAACTTCAAGGCTGAGCAGGCTATGGCTGATTACTTCCTCACCCTCCCGAGAGGCGGACGGAGGCGTGACAACACGAGTGTACATCGGCTTGGTGCGGGAGGCCCTGCCGTGACAGCGATGAGGCATTCGAGCAGAGGGGAGCGATTTGCCGTGCCGATCAAGACTGGCCTCAAAGCCAGAGGCAAATTGTTTGAGCCACGTGGTGGCATCGGAGCTGTTGGCACCTGAGGCGGGGGCAGAGGCTTGCCAGGCAGCTATGTCGATGTGTGCCCAAGGGATTTCGCTGGGCAATGGCCAAGTCTGGGCCTGGAAAACCCCATCCAGAGACAGACTAGCAATTACGGTGCTATGTTCTGCAAAGATGTCCCGCACTTCAACGGCATTGAGCAAGGCGGCGGCTTCAGGGCTCACAAAAATGTGATCGCGGAAAGCTGCCCCCTTAGAGGTGGGCTGCGGGGCGTGGCCCCATCTCTCAGAAGCGATCACTTGTACCTCTTGCCAGCCATGCATACGCCAAATGCTGATTTGATGCAGAACGTCGGGGTGGTGGTTGTAGTCACCGACAATGGCACGTACTCCGGTACGCCCCAACACAATTTCACGTGTCAGAACTTCGAAGAGGAGGTCCGTCCTCTCCCGGGCATCAGGAAAGGTGGGTCCCGGGTACCCATAGATGTTGGCAGTGATGACTGGCAGGGCGCCCACACAATGAAAAGTAGCCTGGATTCTCCCAGAAGCACAAGCATCGGACCCCCAGTGCAGTTGCAACGGCCTAGAAGGAAAATCAGACATAGTCAAGACGCCAGACCAGGCGCCAGCCCAAAGAGAGTTGGGACGCAGGGCGACAGGAGCGCCGGTGGTGATGCGAACTTGTCTGGAGTGTGCCTTGGCTAGGGAACGGAGGGAGCCTGAGCAGGACTTTTGAGTGACAGCAGACAGCTGTGTTTCACTGAAGTGCCAGAGGCCTGGGCCAAGCTCGACTGCCAAAGGTTCTTTTGACCGCAATCCAGTAGGATTAGAGGTGCCAAGCAGTAAGTTGGGACCAGGGTTCTCCGCCTCACCAACCCGAAGCGAAGCAGGAGAAAGCAGATGAAGGGCACTTGCCGGCTGTAGGACAAGCGCGAAGGAGACAAAGAAACGCCAAAACCAGCCAAACGAAGCGCGAAGCGGCGAGGCATGCCGGCAGGCTGAGACCGGCATCCGGAGTGATCTAGTCACTCCGTCCTGGATTTCTTGCTAAGCAAGGCCTCAATGCGCTGCAGCTGATCATCAAGGCGAGTGTTCATGTCAGATTTGAGGGAACTCACTGCAGAGGAAACCTCACCACGAAGCTTGGCGACATCAGCCTGCTGGCCTTGCATGGTTCTCTGCAAGTCGGTGACTTGAGCCTGGCTCTCGGAAAGCTGAGTCCCGAAGCTCTGGAACCACCCTTCGAACTTGCGGTTCTGCATCTGCAGTTCATGAACCCCAACCTCGAGCTTTTGTATTCTAGAATCTTGATCGGCTGAGGGGGTGACAGCGGCTGAGGCGGGTGTGGTTTGTTCCGCAAGCTGCTGCTGCACAAGGGACTGCAAGTCCTGACGAAGTTCAGTGCGGATCTGGGAGAGTTTGTCACCAGCTTGGCTGGGCTTGGCGGTTGGAGCAGGGAGTCCTGGTGGAGCACGGTATGCAGACCAGGGGTCATTGCCACCGGCCCAAGGATCAGCAGAGCTTGAAGCTGGCTCTTGTTCCTCTCGAAGAATGTGCTGCCTGGTCTTAGAAGAGGCGCAAACATCCGGAGCCTTGGGGCCAGATTGCATGTCCTTGAGCTTGGTAATCAAGACGTACTGCGAGCCAGCAGGAAGAGTTGGGGCAGGCGGTTCGCACTCAGCTCCAACCTCCCAGGCACTGCCTACTGCATCTCCACGTGCTGGCTGTAAAGGCCTGGCCTGCCACTTCCATTCCTTCAAGAGCTTGGCAAGGTGAGCACGTTGCATTCCGTGAGGCAGGGGATGCAGTCGGTATCTGGCGGAGATCCGCAGCTTGACAAAGTCAACTTCTGGCCGAAGCAGGCCGTGAACAGCAACTTCATCGGCCTCCAGGACACGGATGCCGAACCGACGGCCAAGTCGTGTGATGGCAACAGTTTTGTCACATGTACGCAAGACATGCTGTACCTGCGCGCGGTCCTTGCCTGGGAGCCAGATGACGGCGAAGCCGGGATGAGGGCTGTAGCCATCGTTGGCTCGGGGCTCGAAGTAAAGACCTGGAGTGGTAGTCCTGTGTAGCAGCTTCAAAGCGGAGCTGGGAACTAATCATCACCTGGAAGAGCTCAGCCTGGTCGGGGGCTGCCCTGCCACCTTCCACTCTGGCAAAAGAACGACCCCAGGCATCCAAGATCAATCTATCGACCGTTTCCTCCAAGGCAGGATGGAAGTGTGGACAATCCCCTTTGCAGTTGGAGTCCTTGCACAAACTAAGGCACGGGGCATGCTGCACGATGGCTCGAAGCGGAGCTTGGGCGACGTCGGACCAGGCAACATTTGCCTCGTCGCGAAAGTAGGAGGCCGACCAGTGACGGTTTCAAGACTCTCAACTTCAGCGATGTTGGGAGTGTCAAGCTGAACCACCTCGTCTCCGAGCTGAAGCAGAGATCCCTGCAGCAGGATGGCTTCTTGTGTTGGGGCATAGATGGCGGGAAACTGGATGTTGGTGACCGGAGCACCAGTACACGCCTCCGGCGGCAGGGCAGATGTGCAAACCACAGCCAATGCATCAACACTGAGACTGGAGTAGGCCTGAAGAAAAGGAGCAACTTGCAGAGGGGTACAGAAAGCGACCCCAGAGGCCTGTGTAACAACTTCAGAAAGGGCAAGCTGTGCCAGGGGCTGCCCATCCGAGGACTTTGAAGGAGCCAGGAACTAGCTGCAAAGAGTCTGGGTCGACCTGCAACGAGGGCCTGGCTGCTTTGCTCTTTACCTTCTGTTTCTTCTGTCGCGGGTGCACGACAGCCGTGCCGAATCGAGCAGCAGCCTTGGTCTCCGCAAGAGCCTTGACTTCTTCGGGCTTAATCCACCGAAACATGGCATTAGGCATTGAGCCAGCTGCCTTCAAAGCCTGCCAAACATTCTGAGCCCCCAGTGCGGTGGCAATCGGCCCGGGTCCAAGCCTGGAAACTGCAGCATTGATGCGCTCCTTGACGTGCTCGGCAGCGACTCCTTTTTCAAGAAGAAGGTCGTGCAGGCGCCCAGACTGATCCTCGGAGAGCCCGCCAAAGCCATAGAGGGTGGCCTTGTGAAAAGGCATCTGGGCAACAAAGCTCAAAGCATCCTGCAGAAAGGCGGGCTGAGCCGGGCCGCCCGACAAAGCAACGGCGGCATGTGCAAGGGCGATGGCACCGCAATCGTTCGGACCTTGTTGTTCCCAGCAGCACTCTGAGTCCAAACCCAAAAGAGGTACCCCACACAGAGCGCAGAAGGAGCTGGCGATCGACTGGGCAGCAGCAAAGCTGCGACCGGGCATTCCATCATAGTGTGTAGCAGTGACACCGCAAGCTTCTGCAGAAAGTGCAAGGAGCGACCAATGGGCCTGATCAACAAAGGCAAGCAGGCAGCAGCGCACAGGTTCTGGCCAAGAGAAGCACGACTCGGCGTGGTGGGGAAGCTCAAGCAGAGCTGTTGCACACTTGGGAGGGACAACGAGGCACCTGTTGGAAGGGAGGGCGGCCTGTAAACGAAGGAGACCTGCCCACATTGTGATGTCTGAGGTGCCAACAAGCACTTGTGCATCTTGCCACATAGGACTTCGTCTGGAGGCTTTGTGGGAAAGCTGCACCTGGTATGGCTCAGTGCTAGAATTAGCGCGAAGAAAGAAGTGGGGAGCAAGCTCACAGTCATCACGAAGCACCTGAACCTTGTGACCTGGGCCTGCGAGGGCTTTCTCGGCAGCAACAAGTTCGGCAACCTTGATTGGCCTGCGGATCTGCACTGCATGTGTCACTCCATTGAACTCGATCCAAATTTGCCCGGCAGCCCTGAGGGAAGGTAAGTCCCAAACATCCAAACGAGACCGAAGCAGAAAAGCCTTGTACTGGTCAACAAGCTGGTCGGGCGTGCAGGCGACTTCTCCCGACGACAGGCAGTCGGCCCACTGAAGCAGCTGACCGTAAACCCAGAGGGCTTGAAGTGGGGCAGTGAGGCTGCCTGCCAAGCACACAGCTGCTCGGACATCGGTGATGTGGGCATGGGTGGGCGGCAAACTGTTCAGGAAACCTACCTCGGAAGCATGTGGCAATCTCATGCCGTCCAAGATGCTGGAAAAGACACCGAACCCATTTAGGCCTTGTAACTCCTGTGCATAGAGAGACGAGCTCTCATCACGACAGCCACACGGGCAAGGGTTGCACACCGCTCCCCAATTATGCTGGGCGAGTGGAGCCTGGCTTTGTAAGTCCAGGCGCCTGCAATCGGCACCAAAGCGGGGATCCTGGAACATGGCTTGTTCCTGCTCTGTCCATGCAAGGGATTGTTCATCTGAAACCGGCCAACTAGGGAGCTCGGGGAGGACTAAACCAACAAGGGTCCTAGGGTCACTGGGTAACCAGGCATGCAGCTTCAGCTGCGGCATGTGGTTAGGCACCAGACAGTACCACCACCTGTTGCGTCGTGAAGCCCATTGATCCGCAAGATCCAGCTGTAATGAAGCAACCTGAAGGCCTGCTTTGGCGGCAAAAGTGGAAAGCATAGCAGCGGCGGAGCTACAAGTTTCCAGGTCCTGCGTGCATTCTAGAAGTAGGCAACTAGTTTGCAACCTCCAGGCTAGCACAAGCAAGTTGTGAAGTGCGGCACAGTCGTCAACATGCCCTCGAATGCCGGGCTGCAGATGCAAGCTCGCCGAAAGAATGCTACCAATCCCGGGGTGGGCCTGTAGTATACCTATATGTGTCTCCATGATGGCGAGGTCGCCCTGAAGAGTGCTTATGTTATTGCTCCTCAGCGTGTTGCAAGCCAATTCGCACCGATCAACTGCCAGAAGGGTGCGGCAACCTGCAAATGCGGTTCCTGCTGAAAAACCACCGCTACCAGCATAGATGTCCCTGATGCGAAACAAGCAGTCACGATCAAAGGTGGGCCTGGGAAAGGCAAAAGAGCCCGAAGTCTTGATAAGGAAAACCTGTGAGTCAGTGATCTGAGCCACTTGATATCCCTGAAGTGTCCAAATGCCAGATCCCAGATCGGAACAGAAATAGACATCACCGTGCCACAAGCCACGAAAAAATCCATCTGCACCTGTGGCCTCGACCACAATGGAGATTCTCTGCCCAAGGGAGAGGACTGAGCTCGGTGGGTCCCACTGCACTGCCATGTCGGTCCCTCGAGGTTTGGTTGTCAACAGCTCTACCCCTGGAAGGAACTCGAGCCCAGAGCTCGTAGGGCTATAGTTATAACCCATATTAGGGGACTTATAACCCCGCTTATAACTACCCATGAACCTTCAAGCTCGAAGGGGCAAAGCATGATGTGTGCTAACGGCTAATAGCACTATCAATTCCAGTAGTAGGGCTAGTTAAAAGAAACAGTCCGACGACTATTCCAAACACGAAGAGAATATCACGCATGGGAATTTCGACATCGGCTTCTGGTATGCGAAACACACCCAACCTATAGAAGCATGACCACAGACGCGGCGGCCCCACATTCTTTCTAGAGTCTCCAGGCCCCTGAGTCTTAATGCAGAAGCCGTACGCCCTACAACCTAAGAGGGTTTAGGGTTTAGGGAATCCTAGCAGCACCTGTCGTAGCTCGTAGCCGTAAGAAGTTCTAAACCCTCGAACCGAGACCCTGCAGCCAACAGTCTTCATCTCCCCGAAGCCAGGAAAAATCTTTCATACCCCTACAGTGTGTCCGGAATCCGGCAACCTTATGGGTCAGAATTTGGGGATTTGCGGCCCCGGGCTTTCAGGATTTACTACGCAAGGTAGTTGGGGCTAAGGGTCCTGAATCTTTGTGTCCCAAGTAGAGTAAGCATCGTCAGTCAGGATGCCCTGCATCGTGATCGTAAGAGAGAACCCCTTGGTTCCAGAATCCCCTTTAACAGCCCCAAACCCTTAAAGCCTCACTTACCTTAGACCCCAAAGGACAAGATGCATTTGGCATGAATTTTCAGAAATCCACGAGGCAACCCTAGTTGTGAAGGGCAACCTCCCATGCAAGAATCTTGATCCCAAATGCATCCCGAAAAACAACGTTGGTCGAGTACTTGCGGTACATCGTCCTAGTCGCGTAGTAGAGAGGTACTGGTACAGCTTTGGACAACGAGAACCTTCGTTTCTCCAAAGTATTGCTGTGCTGACAGACAGATGGCAAACTTGGGACAGTGAATAACAAACAGAACGAGACGCCATGGCAGACCATAGCGACAAGACCATTTCTCATTATTGTAATTAGGTCGCCTGTGCCTTGATCCGGGAGCTTACATCTTAAACGGCCCTTTA